AGGCGCCGGCAAGCGAGGGTTGAGCCCTGGCCCAAACGGGCAAGCAGCCCTAGTCCCGAAAAATCCCCACTAAATAATGCACTCTCAGAATTGAAGTCTCTCGACCACGATCCCCTCCGTCGACAACCCCCGATTCCACCACACAAAATGGCCGCTGTTCAGGGTGCTATCTCCAAGCGCAGAAAGTTCGTCGCCGACGGTGTCTTCTATGCCGAGCTGAACGAGTTCTTCCAGCGCGAGCTGGCCGAGGAGGGCTACTCCGGTGTGGAAGTCCGTGTGACTCCCACTGTCACCGACATCAGTACGTCAAATCCGAAAACCAAACTCTCCTGTGTGATCGCTTGAAAATTGCTGGTGAAATTGCTGGAAAAGAGGAGGAAGAAAAGCATTTACAATCGCGATGGGATCTGCGGAATTCGAATGGGGATTTTGATGCTAACGGGCTTGTCCAGTTGTCCGTGCCACCCACACCCAGGAGGTTCTCGGTGAGCAGGGTCGCCGCATCCGCGAGCTCACCTCCCTCATCCAGAAGCGCTTCAAGTTCCCCGAGAACTCCGTCTCCCTCTACGCCGCCAAGGTCCAGAACCGTGGTCTCTCCGCTGTCGCTCAGTGCGAGTCCCTCCGCTACAAGCTCCTGAACGGTCTTGCCGTTCGTCGTGCCTGCTACGGTGTCCTCCGTTTCATTATGGAGTCCGGTGCCAAGGGTTGCGAGGTTGTCGTGTCCGGAAAGCTCCGTGCCGCCCGTGCCAAGTCCATGAAGTTCACTGTACGTCCATATCGTAGGAATTGCGACCGACGAAACGATCGATCGAATCGATCGCAAACTAGTTTTGGGAAGAATATTATGGCTAACACAAGTAACAGGACGGTTTCATGATCCACTCCGGTCAGCCCGCCAAGGAGTTCATTGACTCCGCCACTCGTCACGTTCTCCTCCGCCAGGGTGTCCTCGGTATCAAGGTTAAGATCATGCGCGGCTCCGACCCCGAGGGCAAGGCCGGCCCCCAGAAGACTCTCCCCGACTCGGTCACCATCATCGAGCCCAAGGAGGAGCAGCCCGTTCTCCAGCCCATGAGCCAGGATTACGGTGCCAAGGCTATTGCCGCCCAGCAGGCTGCTGAGCAGCAGCGTCTTGCCGAGCAGCAGGCCGCTGAGGCTGAGGGTAGTGCGGAGACTTTCGCCCAGGAGTAAATGTTTTTATCTACATTAGGCCCGGCTCTTCCTTTTCCTTCCATCTGTCCTAACCTAACCTGATACTCTACCTCACGCAATCAAAATTACATGACCTTCAAAGCCTTTTATTCGCTATTCTATAATGTATTGGCCAATACGGTGGAGGTCAATTGGAAGTTTTTCGAGGCCTGGTACATATTGGCAAGAAAAGGCCTTTCTTTCTTGCCATTGAATATCAGATATCATATGCTAGAATCAAAGCCTCGATATCCGTTCTCTGTTCCCGTGTGCGTTCCTCGATTACCAAGTGCCTGCGTCCTACTTGTGTAGTATGAGGAGACATCGATCTTGTGTCCGATTTCGGATCTTTAGCATTGCTTTGGTTCAGATGTGACTGGGGAATCTTGAACTAGGACGTATATATCAAGCCATGAACAGGCTCTCTGGTAGACCTAGACAATTTAACGCTTTTGGGCATCCTTCATATCTCCTAAATGATGGCAACTTGGTAATATATATCTTTATCTTTTATTCTAAACGTGTAGGCTAGAAGCGCCAAGGGGATAGAAATGAAAACAACTAGAATTCCTGTGGATACCGTTGTATATATCTCTACATATAGGCTCACAAGACGACTTATACATTCATGGGTGATGAAGAATGCAACGCTCCATTCAGTATTGCTATTATTATTTCGTAACAAAATGTCATCCAAGAAATTTCCAGTACATATGCACATGCAAAAACAATCAAACAAGATGGAGTACATGTCCTAATCGGTTGAATCATAAAACAGATCGAATCAGATTATCAAAAATTCAAAAAAAGTAAAAGAAAAGGAATCAGTACTGTCAACGCTCACGATATGAGGCGGCAGCAAGCCGACTAAACAGCAGCTCGGGATGCTCCAAGACCTCCGAGTGCCGACGATGCAGCTCCTCGAGCTGAGCTAGGGGATTCTGTAGACCGCCACAATAAGTATGTTGCGCTGAGGAGAGAAGAGAACACATCAACCGTGACACCCACCCATTCCTCCTGGCTAGGTACGCCCTCCGCAACAGGAAGGGCGGCTGTACCGGAGGCCTCATCCCCGTAGCTGATGCGGCGGATTGGGGCCGGCGTTACTGGCAGACTGGGGCGCTCGTCTTCTGTTGGAAAGTCGGTAATCTTGGTGCTGGGGCGAGAGCCTGGGGCGGGAGGTGATTTGTCGGGACTGTTGGAGTTGGCTCCCGGACTGGTTACTTGTGATTTTGTGCGCTGTGCTTGGATTGTTTCAATGTAGCGCTGTATCTCTGGGTCCTCATCCCAGGCGTTAGAGCGGCTGTATGTTTGCCATGATTCGGCACTAGGTTCGAACGGTACCCGAGTATAGGAAGGCGAGGGACCGGGAGGGGCTGGCTCGCTTGGGAGTGAATGTTGCACTGGTTCCTTGGGTATCACTGGGGTTTCCACCAACTCTACAGGTGCCTCCTCGGCGAAGATGCGGGTGGGTTTCGGAGCATGGCTCTCCCAGGGGAAGATCGTGGTGGGTTTGGGCTCCGGCTTGGGTGGAACTTGATACCACATGTTTTTCGGTGCCTCAGGGTAGGACGACGGGGGTTGGAATAGATGCGTGTCTTCAGACATATCATATGTTTTCTGTTGTAAACTGAAACCTTCGGGTTTCGTGTTGACCGGTGGTGGCTCGCTATGGGATATTAGCACTGTAGGTGATATCAAGGGATATGCTCTTACCGCGAGGGGTCCCACTCGGACTTTGGCGCCTCAAAGATCGAAACCTCTGGGACGGGAGATGGGGGTGATTGATACTCAATGATTGGGGGAATTGGTGCCAGCGGCCGTGGTTGGTGGATATGGCCATCGGGGTAGTGTGTCTGTATCTGTGTCTGTATTCCTGTCTGGGTCTGTGCCTGTTCCTGGATCTGGGTCTGTGCCTGCGTTTGTATCCGCGTCCCGTATGTTTCGTGGCTCACTTGAGGCGCAAAAGTGATCGGCGCAGATGGCAATTGTGGGATAAAGGTTGAGACATGCTCCTCTCCGCGAACATACTGCGGTACCATGCTCAGTACAGGTACAACGGCATTTTGTACATGAGTGGGAGCAGGTTGTTCGTGCTGCGGTTCTGAATGCCCGTGCTCGACTGGTGGTGCTTGGTGCGATTCCTCGTGGAAGCCCGCAGGTTCTTCAACATGGTAGGGCTGCAGTTCAGACGTGGGCTGTGTTTCATAGTGTGGTGTGTTTTCATAACGGGGGGTGCTGTCATAACGAGGGGCGTAGTCATAAGTAGGGGTAGAGACTTGTTCGCCTTGAGCCAACATCGTCTTTTTAACCTCAACTGGCGCGCTCGGTACCTAAAAATGTCAGTCCAGGTCTTCATAATCTTGCATATCACTTACAAATGTCGGGCGATAATGTCTGTCATAGACTGCCCACCATCGGCCTAGTAGCTGATTGTAAGGGGACTCCAGCGGGACAATCTGCCTCGGCATATTCCAAGGCTTCTGAGCACCAATGAAATGAATAAGACTGATGGTACTCTGGAAATGCTTGTACGCAGGAATGTACTGGTAATTGGCACTTGGCGTGCAATTATACGTGAAGCTTAGCCTATGCCAGTTCCGGAAATGCATGTTCAGCAGACCCTGGTCCGCGCCATCGAAGCTGATACCTCGCTGAGCGAGTGCCTTCAGCGCATAATAGTCCTGTAGATTAGGTCGGAGAACCATCATTCCACTATTAAAGCAATCCGGCCAACCAACGTCAGGCGCGGCAGCAAAGTCTGCTTCCAGTGATAACAGCTCGTCGGGGGCTCGGAGAGCTACGACATCACAGTCAATGTATACGACTCGCTGGTATTGCGTCAGGCGCCAGAGCTCGATTTTGGTGAATGTGGCAATCAGGTCTGGGCGGTCCATGAGCCAGAGGTTCGCCGGCGTGTCGTTTACCATTGAGCTCACTGGGATCAATTCGTCGTAGACGGTCTAATTTGTAAGACATAGGTATAGTTTGGGGATTGCTGTACGTACCCTTAGCTCGTCGATGGTGCTCGATTGTAGTCTGTCTGGCGTAAAGAGCGCCACTAATCTCGCTTTTGTACCATTGTCGCGTAGGGAATGGGCAAGGACCATAGCACCTATAAGATTTTAGAAGAATTTCACATTCCACATGAATGAGAGGGCATACCAGGAAGATAATTGTCGCTCAACAGAAGCTGTCTCATCGTCAGTTTACACCATAAGCACAGGAAAGGGGGGTAAAATACCGTGCAGTAAACTGCTCCATTGGAATCCATCGCGCCACAGTTTGAACAACAAAACAATGAGTTGCCTGACAGACGTTGGAGAGAAGAAAAGCCCCTAAAGGAAGAAAAGCTAGAAAAGCTAGGCTATATTTAACCTGCCAATTGCCAATGACAGTTCAGGCCGGTAGAAGCACGATACACCGACTGTGGTACCTGGACCGGACGCAGATTCGAGGGGGGACGAAAACAGGAGAATTTTTTTTTTTTCAGTGCATGTTGTGTAAGGTTGAATGAGAAAGTCGTAAGACTAAAGCAAAGCAAAGTAATATGGAAAGCAAAGGCCGAGATGTAGGAATTAAGGTCAAAGCTCCCGGAGGGGGGAAGTGGAGTTGCGCCGTCAGCGGGTAAATCATCGATCCCGCTTATATCTTCTACTCTTCTCTTCTCTTCTCTTCTCTTTAACACTTATGTTTGTTCTCTCTCTACAGAATATACATTGAATCTATCTAAGTGGTCTAAGTGGGGTGAAATATCACTTTCCCCCTAACCGCTTTAGATCGGGTTGCCCCCCGCAATACGCTTATATTTATCGTGAAAACGTGACCTGGGCACCAGGGTAGGATTCAACAATGACCGTCCCAATGTCCCCCTGTTCGCCTTGAGCAGCCCATTCAATAGTCTTGGTCAAAGCTGCGCCGCTCTCACGTTCAAGCGGAGTCCAATGTCCAGTACGGGGAAGTAGCACAATCTGGGATCCCTGCACCAAGTAATCACCCATCCCATCGAGGCAGATCCTCGGGTCAAGAGCAATATCATTTTTGCCCCAGAAAATGGTTGTGCTAGCTTTGAGAGCGCCTGGGGGACCTTCATCAAACAGCCCAGCTCCGCTGCTCGCCATTCGCTTTTTCGATGAAATACTGTGCAAACCAGCAACAGTCTCAATGGACTTGACCCAACGTGCCGTCGCCGCACGATCACGGTAATAAGCCGCCATGTGCAAGACATGCGCGAGGGCGCGCTTGTCGAGGCTGGCGGGATAGGCATCACCGCTGGGAGTTTTACTATGCGATTCTGCGGCGGAAGGGCCCATGGTGCTAGCCATGCAGTCGGCCACGTCGAGGTGGGTATGTTCGTCCTTGTTGTACGAGGTGATGTGAGTACTTTTCAACAGTGACCAGTTACCCCCAGTCAGGAAAAAGTAGACCACTGGCGTGGGTAACTGCATCGCAAAGATATAGCCGGATAGAACAAGCTGGCGGGCGAGAGGGGTGATGGTTCTGAGTGCTTGCATCAGCGGGACGCGGGCGTGTAGTGGTGAACGCCAGGCGTTACCGAGCATCTTTCTGGTCGAGAAGAGTAGACGGCGGATATTGGATTCAACCAATTTCATCTGAATCGTTAGTTGAGATATAATATTGACTGGTGTTCCGACATACTGATGGTCCGTTGGACAGGATGAACCGATGGGCCAGGGATGGAGCTTCGGCAGCGAGGCGCATGGACAAGACACAACCCCAGTCATGGGCGACAATTATGGTTCTCTTCTTGTTGCTTTCGTTGCCCGAGTCTACGCCATACTGGGTCCGTAGGGTGACGATCAGCTCTGTCAATCTCTCCAAGACGTTTGTTGCATTATATTCTTCCAGGCTCTCCGTTCCTCCATATCCGGGAAGGTCAATCGCAACCAGCGAAACAGCCTCCTGCAGAGCAGGGTTTGTAATAATGCGTCGCCAGATTGCCCAGCTATCCGGGAATCCGTGGATGAAAATGACTAATGGTTTGTCGGAATTGACGGTTTCCGGTGTGTTCGGGATATCGTTACTGACAAAGTGGAACTTGAATCCGCTTTGCAAGGTGAGGATGTGGTGAGAGAGACCCTCGAAAACTTTAGATAAATCCCAGAGGCGATCGCGAGCTGGAGAGTCAGTAAAGAACTTTCAAAATGGTGAATAGCTCACCAAGCTGTAGCTCCAGTTTCTCGTTTTCAGTGGTGCGTCTGAAGTATGTGCCTTTCGCAATAGCAATGAGACCGTAAAGAATGAGTGTAAAGAAGCCATACACGAAGACGGCCGTGCCGATCAAGACACGGGATACGGATTTGCCCATATTGGAATCATGTGTTAAAAGGATAGAAGCCTAGAATGGTGAGAGTCTATAATAAATCTAAGACAAGCGGAGCTAGTGCTGTTCACCGGTAGCGTCATACCTGAGTCAGCGATATAACGGTGGGTACTTCCGAGCTGACGGGTACCTACATGAAGATCTGTAGGTGCATGTATGTTGGACAATACATCTGATAATCTAGATGACCAGGCAAATTCAGGAATGCAATCATATTATACTGTAAATTGTAGACAGTTTACAGCTTTCTCAATCTATTGCATACCAAACGCCGCCTCTACATGCACAAAATATTATTGGTAAGAAACAGTCCAAGGGAAAGGGGTATTAACAGGGGTCCAAAAACAAAAAGCCATCATCTCGTCGAGGGGATATATACAAATCAGAGAACGAATCCTAGTTGTTCACGATTGTCGTCCACCAAGCGGCCATATCTGAAAAGGGAGGTTAGCAGAATTCTCTTATATAATGACGAGGTACTTGCTCTAGGAGTAACCGGAAGAACCAAACCTCCAGATCTTCATTTCGTAGGGTTTGCTGTGCCCAGCGCTGACCCTGGTTGGCAATTTGAAGAGCGGCCTTTTTGCCCTCTTCTTCTGAGGTAAAGTATCGCATGCTCTCAACGTACTCGTTGCCTTTCAAGCCGAGAGGGACGTAATGTACCCAGGGCTTCAGCCACTCGTCGTGCCATTCGCGGAAGATAGCGATCTTGTAGACAAAGCTGTTGCTATGCAAGAAAGCGTGGAACCGCCCGCTAAAAGCATTGCCATCGATGTCGACCAGGAACTTGTGCGCCCACGCATCTTGTTGCCCAGTTTGCTTGAACACTCCAAAGTATTCAGTCTGCGCATTGCAGTCGTCCGGGTCACACTGGCCGATAAGTGTGAACTTGACATCGAAGGAATCACGATAGACGTCCCGATTAATGTCCTGTGAAACCCAGCCATCGCCCTGGCGAGCAAGAACTTTGGTGGTGCCTAAGGCGTTGACGTTGTCGACAAATTGCTGGCGGTGTTGTCGGCGCCAGCCACCCGCACGCGAAAACCCACCAGTTGTGGAGCCACGCCAGTACATGTGGTCGGACTTGGCCTCCCACGCATAGTCTTTTGTAGGATCGTACGGGACTTTGTCGGCCCAGTACCAGGGACTCGGGTAAATAATATCCTGGAAGCTGGAGATCTTGCTCTGCGAGAAGACAGGGAACAGGTCGTGGACAACATCAAAGGCGTTGGGTCGGTCAAAGAATCCATATGTATAGCGGAGAGAGGGGGTATTGCAGATGTCAGAGGCCGCCGTGGTGTTGTAGATGAAGCCGAGTTCGCCATACGCATAAGGGTCAACGTTGTCGGGGGCATCTTCGTCGAGTGAGCGTGCTGGGCTGTCAACTGGACAAGAGACTCGGGAGTTTGTCCAGGTCGGTTGATGTGCGAAGCGGTTGAAACGAGTGGTGCGCACCTCGTCGATGCGGTCGCCTTTGTTTAGGTCTGAAGCACGTGGGGACCACACATTCGTCGGGGTTTTCTTGAACGCTGCTGGGAGGATGATGTTCTTGGCCGTCTGCACCAATCGCTGGAGATCTTCGTTAGGGAGGATCACGCGCGGCTCGTCGTGAGTGTTGAACACTAGGTCCATGTCGGGCAGGTATTTCACAAAAGCACCCATCATACCGGCCGTAGCGTCTCGCTGCCACTTGCGGTCATCGCCTCCTCCATCCGTTAAGGACACCTTGCCGTCGCGAATCAGAACACCGAGCACCGCATTGTCAAATCCAAGTGTTTCGCGCGCCCGTTCGCGAATCGTCTGAGGTTTCACACCCCAGAAGGGAAGGAGGGAGTGGTAGATGGAGTCAAACTCATCGGTGAGCTGCACATTTCTTGACTGGGCAAACTCGAACCATTTGTCGAAATGTGGCGGCGGGTGCATATTGTAGCGGCGCTGGTATTCACTCACGGCCTCGGCCAGGGTCTTTGATTGCCGCGACTGCGCATGATTGAAATCCCGTTGGGCATTTCCAATTAGACGCGTGATCGGGTGTTCCTTCTCGGGGAGGAACGTGTTCTGCCCCGCATGGAGCTGAGGGTGTTGTATCGGTTCGGGAGGAGGCAATTCTACGGGCTGTGGCTCTGGCTGCGATGATCGTAGTAGTAGGATAGAAAGACACGCAAGAACACCGAGCGCAAGTAATACTATCAACCGTTGGATGCGCATGCTGCCATTTGGGAGAGGCATGAAGAAGGAGTGTGAGTCTTAAAGGAGGGTTCTCCGTAAGTCTAGAGTTCCAGGGTTCCAAGACCTCGGGCTGTTAGCCTTATCCGCCAAGCCTTTCTAACGTAATCTCAATCTAGGGCTACCGATACTTTGTACTTCGTATTGTTACAAGGGTTTAAAAGACAACTATAATATTATGATATGGTTTTATTTGTGTGGCCCCCAATTCTAGACGGGGCCAATGTGCTATGTGGCGTTGTCTAGATCCAGGGGAGGTGCTAATCTATTCAATACGTGTCACCAAAAGCGCTTGGACTACAACATACATTGATGTATTTCGTACAGAACATCACAAATATCGTTCAAATATGTTGATAGATATTTCAAATTGAAGCAGGAATCTGACCACCCTCAAATGTCTACCAAAATAGTACACAGTTCATGTTGAATATAATTATATAGTTCGTACCCCTTGATCTTCCATCAAGGGGGAGAAGAAAGGGGTTTAATTTAGTACACTCTACGGAGCATGTAGATCGATGTCCTCTCAGAAAACATGATCTGAACAAGCATAAAACAAGATGTATCAAAAATTACTAGTTGATCGAACCTGAGAAGTAATCTAGGCATTGAAATAGTCATGCTATTTCCTTTTCTATAAATCGATGGATGATGTTCATGCTAAATAAGCTTATATACGATATCCCTAGAGACAATATCAATATGCTGATCAAGGAAATAGAAATTCGAAAAGACCATCAGATATGCTGTAGGAATGCTATGTTATGATTTCCCAGCATACACTAACATAGCAGCCAAGAGCATACCCAATTGAGCACAGAAGCTGCTAAAGTCTGGAGAATATACTTCTGTGCCTCCTTAACATGAGAGTAAGCCGCAACACACAATAACACCACCAAAGACACATGACCAAAGTAAAACATCTTTCTGCGTTCTTGAATGGTGCCCTGTATAAGCCAACTCTGGAGTCCCTTCTGGGAAGCAGGCCGCACGAAGAGAACGAGCATCACGGCTGAAAATATCGCGAAAAGGCCACATTGGACATCTAAGTCTTGGACTCGCTTGAAGAGCAATATGCCAAATTCAGGATGACTGGATTGCACGAAGAACAGCGTGTACAGCGCGGCATGAGCCAGCAGGAGAGAGACAACCACTCGACCAAAGAGACGGTGGTATGGCGTCAACGCTCGCTGAGGGATACCGGTCAGAACAGACAGTACAGACGAGGCTGCCGGCTGGGAGATGTATGCCGGAGACATCAGAACCTGCAGTGGCAGTTGGGACAGGCCAACTTGGCCCAATGCTTTGGTCAAATGGAGGTAGTCTAGCATGTTAGCTCGTACCTCAATGCAACCGGGAGATGAAGACCTACCATCACCACTGTTCCATATCGAAAGGAATAAAAGCCATAATAGCCACAGCCCGCAGACAAGATACTGTCGGGTCTTTCCAGAAATAGGGCCATCCCGCTTAACGGTTGATCTTGTGGCAAAGCGAAAAACCCGAATGGCGACAATAACGACAATAATTGACAATTGTGCGTAGTACCCTCGAAGATCAAGTAGCTCCCTCCGATGCAGCTTGTCGCTTTCGGAGAGAGAAATGAAATGGTACGGCCACGACATGGCGACTGAAGAATAATATAAACGAGAGGTCCTGTAGAATCTTAAACCAGTTGAAAAGCCCGTGAGATGCAGCGCGGCTCAAAAACACATGCTTAGAATGTTCATATTGGTCTCACAAATCTTGATATACTGCTGAAAAGTAAGCAGTCGGACGCCCCGGGGAGCTCCTGCCTTTTTGCTGACAAATGAATTGCAAATGATGGGCAGGTACGGCCACACTCTAGCCCTCCAGGGCTGGCTTGAGGTTTTTACTGCCTACATAGTATGCAGGTACTATATCGTACACAAATTATGTGCTTACATGCAAAGTCTTCAGTTGCACATTTGCTTTTGACTACCTACCCTGGCGAAACGTTATGTAAAACCTCTACATTAAAAACGCCTGAAAGAAAAGGACGCTTGGCTATTTTCTAACCTAACAGGATGCCTTGTTGGGTATGCACCAAACAAGTACATAATTTAAGGAGATGTCTGCATCTCATCCTGATTGCCACCAGCAGTCGTAGCAAAGTAGCGGACATCAACATCGTCATCCTCCTGCAACTTCTCCAGACTAGGCACAACCCTTGACTGAATCAACTCCAGGCTCTGGGGTGATGGCGTGATAGGCACTTCAGACTTCTCCACCTCAACCAAGGTCTTATCGGCCGGCAGACGACGCAGTGTGGCGATGAGAACGGCGTAGGACTTGGCGACGTTGAAACGAATGTTGGGGATTTCATCCGTCACCAAGCGTTCCAGGATAGGGAGGAGGGAGTTCTCAATAATTTCAAGGTTGACAACGGGAGTGAGGGTCTGATAATTAGCATTGATCGATGTGGCAAGAGGGGAAACTTACAGAAACGGCAAAACACGTCGTCATGCGGTAAAGATAGTTAGGGTGTTGACCCATGGCCATCACCTTGGGAATGATAGAAGCTTTTGACCACTCCACGCCGAATACCTCTGTCAGTTTCTTCAAGTTCTCAGTGGCAGCCTCTCGGATAGAGAAGACAGTGTCACCGAGCCAGCCCATGCAAAGATCGCTCAGCTGCTCATCAAAGAACTCAACTCCAAGTTGACTGGCAAGGAGTGGAATATATTCAATGATAGCAAGGCGAACACGCCATTGCTTATCCTCAGCCAATTGAACAATGGCGGGAAGAAGAGACTGGGAGAGAAGCTGGATACCAATGACTGTAAAAGTTAGGAGACATACATTAATATAAATCCACGAACGCTTACCTTTGTTGACTTGCTCGAGCTTCGAGATGATATGCAGACGGACATCGGGGAATTCATCCTTAAGCATCTGGAGGAACATGGGGAGCAGATGGGCAATAGTCCTGGACGGTCAGTACATGTTACTGTTAGCAGGTAGGCAGGATACTTACTCCTCCTTGCCCAGGATAGGCGCGAGTCCGCTGATCTGAGTACCGAGGGAAGCCCGGACGTGCTGAGATGGATCAGAGACAAGGTCTTCAACGCTGGTCATGATCTCATTGAGGAGAGTGTCGCGATCGATCAATTGGCAGAAGCCTGAATGTGTCAGTCAAGTATCAACTATAAATCGTCGGGAGTATCATACCAGGAATTTGGCCAGCAATCGCAGTGCGAACCTCAGCCTCTGTATCTTTGAGGAGCTTGACAAAGGCAGGCACCATGTCGCGGGTGACAACCTCTTCGTGGACGGCTTTGGCGATCTGCATACATTAGTGTTGCCCAACATTTTGAAATTCCGCAGGCAATGTACCTTTTCATATCGATCGGCAACCATGTATCGGACTCTCCAGCTCTTATCCTCAAACAGATTCCGGAGCGATGTCAACAAGACACCGTGGCTGGGTTGCTGTTCTTTGGGAATTTCCTCCGCAATCGCGATAAGAATATCAACTGTAAGCAGACGGACGCTGTCCTGATCATCGCTCGCCAAGTATTGGAAGAGGGGAATTATTTCATCGATAACGACCTGGCTTTGCATTTCCTTGACAAACTTGGCCAGATTGTTGGCCGCCTGTCGCCGCACCATCGGGGTTTCATCGTGTACCAAAGCTCCAAAATGCTGTCGGAGACTCTGTTGCAACGCCGGAGTGGCCTTCTTGTATGGTGTGGAGTAAAGACCAGTCGCAGAGACCTTCGAGGTGAACCAGTCTGCCTTTGACAAGCGGAGCACTAGCGGGACAAAATGCTCCTCAACTTGGCTCTCCGAGAGCTGCTCGCATACCTTGTTGAGAGATTCAACGGCCTGGAACGTCAGTATGCGCTTCAGAAACTTTCAGCTGGTGTAGTACCTTCTCCCGCACCAAAGGCTCTTCGATAGCCGCCAAATTCTCCAGCGGGGAGAGCAACACGTGCCCGTATTCCGGACCCCCAACATATTCTGTAAAATTGCCCAGCTCTTCACTCAGCGCAGTCAAAACTTCGTCCTCATCCTCGACGGAATCTATTACTGTTAGACGGGGGTGCTAGGCGATTGAAGGCTGGACAAACCATCAAGAAATGGGATGAGCTCGTCCCGGGTTCGGTCGGGTCCAAGTGCAAGCGCGATCGTGGATAGACGGTGAATGGCATTGAGTCTGAGAAGGACATCGTCGTGCTAAAGAAATGTGAGCTTAATATTGTCTGCACGATTGGAGGAAGATATACCTTCAGCTCGTCAATGAGTACGGCGATGGGGTAGAGCTCATCGTTCTCGTTCTGGCCCTCCATTGTGGATTTGAATATGTATTAAGGAGATGCGACGAGTCCCGGTCCTGAGAGGGAAGAGGGTGGTGTTGGACCTGAGAGCGATTCGGTAGAGGAGGTGTAGGAGGCAATGAGATGGCTGATAAGGATTAGTTCCGACTTCGCGAGATGGCAAGGGGATGCATGGTGGTAGAGTGAGGGTGGGGTTTTGGGCCGCATGGACACCTTCAGCAGAAGCATACCTCGACAATTGAATATTACCTTGATCAATAGCAAATTAATAGATTTGATACAAGTTCGTAAAGAGAACAGAAAAATGCCCCCTTCGATGATGCAGCAACCGGAGCAGGGCAGTCGAGCTTTGAGTGTTTACAAGTGTAAATTACATACTGGCGGTGTGCACATGAATCTTTGAATATGGAGGGGAATTACCTTACCAATACCATTGTCACAAAAGAGGGGGGATCTGTGGCGGTGGTGGCTTGCGGGCAGAATTTCCACCAGCACAAGAGTCATCCAAGACTTTGTGCACCGATCACTACTTCCTGAATTTCCGTACGGGCTTGTCCTATATTCTGTCGGAGTCGCCTACTTGGGTTTCACTCTGGTTTACCAGACATTTCGCTGATTGACACCAGAATTCGCAACCCCCACCATGCCTACCATCTCGGTCGACAAGGCCGCTCTTTTCAAAGAGTTGGGCCGAGAGTACGTCTCCGCATTTTGTCATTGAATTGTACTGACTTTGTTGCAGGTACACCACGGAGGAGTTTGATGAGCTGTGTTTCGAATTTGGTGGGTTGGCTAGGAAATCTTTGCGGGGCATGACTGACTCTGAATAGGAATTGAGCTTGACGAAGATGTACATCCTCCGAACCCCGATTATAACCAATGCTGATCTTTTCAGACCACAAACTCGGATCGCCCTATCGTCGATGGAAAGCAAGAAGCTCCGCAACTCAAGATCGAGATCCCCGCCAACCGGTACGCGTGATATCTGAAGAGAAGAAACGGAAGAACTCAGACTAAGAAGAGACTAGATATGACTTGCTGTGCTTCGAGGGCATTGCGCTCATGCTGAACATTTTCCTGGGCCGGAATCCCCTGCCTGAGTACAAGTTGACTCAGCCGGCACAGATGGAGCAGATTATTGTCAAGGAAGATGTCAGTACTTCAACACTTACTTGCTCAGGTCGAGGGGCTCCACTGACCAAAATAGACCACGAAAATCAGACCCTACGTGGCTGGTGCGATTCTACGGAATATCAAGTTTGACCAGGCTCGTTATGCGTCCTTCATTGCCCTCCAAGACAAGCTCCACCAGAACTTGGCCCGGCAACGAACTCTGGTATCAATCGGTACCCATGATTTGGATACTGTGAAGGGTCCCTTCACTTATGAGGCTCTCCCTCCCAAGGATATCAAGTTTACCCCATTGAACCAGACCCAGGAGATGGATGGCGAGGAGTTGATGAACTTCTACGAGAAGCACCAACAGTTGGGCAAGTACCTGCACATCATTCGTGACTCTCCAGTCTATCCCGTCATCTACGACTCCAACCGGACTGTTTGCTCTCTGCCACCCATTATCAACGGTGATCGCTCGAAGATCAACTTGAACACCACCAATGTTTTGATTGAGATCACAGCGCTCGATAAGACAAAGCTGGACATTGTGAACAAGATGATGGTCACCATGTTCTCCCAATATACCTTGGAGCCGTTTACCATCGAGCCTGTCCAGATTGTCTCTGAGCACAACAAGGAGACTCGTGTCACCCCCGACCTCGCTCCCCGCACTGCTGAGGCTGAAGTCTCGTACATCAACCAGTGCTGTGGCTTGAGTCTCAGTCCCAATGAGATCTGTACTCTTCTCACAAAGATGGCCTTCCGCGCCAAGCCTTCGACCACTTCTCCAGACATCATTAACGTGGAAATTCCCCCCACCCGTGCCGATGTTCTCCACCAGTGTGATATCATGGAGGATGTGGCCATCGCCTACGGCTTCAACTCGTTGCCCCGTGCATTCCCCGACATGTCCGGAACAGTCGCTCAACCTCTTCCCATCAACAAGCTTTCCGACATTGTTCGTGTGGAGACTGCCATGGCCGGTTGGTCAGAGGTGTTGCCGTTGATTCTGTGCTCCCATGATGAGAACTTTGGTTGGTTGAACCGCAAGGATGACGGAAACACCGCTGTCAAACTGGCCAATCCCAAGACTCTTGAGTTCCAGGTTGTCCGCACCAGCCTGCTTCCAGGTCTGCTCAAGACCATCCGTGAGAACAAGCACCACTCTGTTCCCATGAAGATCTTTGAGGTCAGCGATGTTGCATTCA